ACCGAGCGATTCTGTGATTCTGTGATGTAAGCTGACACTACAGGGTTGAGCTGCCTAAGGCCTTTCAACTTGTGACTTGCTGTCCTTGGGGATCAAGAATTTAAAAGCTACATATTTTGAATATTCCCTTTCATCATGAAACTATTCTTTTTTTATAGAAGTTGTTTTCAAAGGTGGACTGAATAGTCTAATAGCATTAAGCAAAAACCAAAGCAATTATTTTCATTATTGTTACAAATGTGTTTAGCTTACCTTAAAATGAAAGGTCAAGAATGATCTAAATATTTTGCTTCTGTTCTTGCTTGGAACAACAATGAAATAGAATAGAAAACAGAAATTGTTTGTGACCTTTACCTTTCTTAATTAACAAAACCCCACAACTTAGAAAATGGGGTGTCAAAGCTAAAGTGCTTAACAAGCCTCTGACAAAATCAGAAATGAGTGCTTTATTCTGATGTAATGGTTCTTCATCGTATTGCTTAGGCCATAATTTATCATGAATGGTCTCCAAAGCCATTTGTACTGGCTAAATTACTTATAAATGCTGTTAGTTTAGACATTTAACATACTTAGCAATGACAAACAAAAGAGTAAACAGGACCAAATTTTCACATGCCGCCTAAAGAAAATAAAAGGTCAGCAGTTTCTGCCTTTTTTTCGGATGTCCTATCTGAACTATGTTGTTTAGTATGTCTGAACATTAGGTGCTGCTTTGTATTTAAGATAGGTTTAATAAGGGCCTCCATCTCTGCAGGATATAAGCTTTCATGCATAAGTGCTCTCCTCTAGTCTGCCACAAAAATCATAAAAATGCAAGATAAAGGCAATCAAACACTGAAAGGTGAAGAACTGCCAGAACTACATGTGCCCTAATTGATAACTGTTTTGATATGCATTATGTTAACCTGTAATGTCACAGTCTTGTTTTCAGGATCCTGTGCTTTTCAATGTGCAGAATAGTGTAAACAAACAATAAGCTAATGCTCAATATTTATAATAATTTACTTCCTGGCTTACAAAGTACATTCCTTTTCTGAATGTGGACTTGTTTCTTTAGCTTCTTTATAAAGCTGAGTTGCTTCTAAAGAGTAACAAGTTAATTTTTGGAATGTAGTACCAGCATAAACTAGCAATTTGTAATGTGGGCAGTTTGGATCTATTGAAAGTAAAATATGTGGCTGTTCTGATGTCATATCTGGCATGAAATGCCATAAAATATTGAGGTATTTATGTTGAAAACAGAGCTCTTTTTGATTTTTAATTCTAATTCGGACTGCAAGTTTAAGAAATGGAAAAAAGTAGTTAATAAATCTTTGAAGTCCAGTCCAAGTGGCTTTCCCCGCC